ATAATGTAGGATGACAGAGGATTGATAGGAATAGTGAGTAGACCCGGCCACCGTGAGAACTGTGAGCTGCGCGCCGCTCTCCTTTCCTCCACTCGCCACTTCGGTTTCACTCACACCACCACCACTTAAACACAGTCTTCTAAATAGAAGAGTTCGCTATTGACCGAAGACGGCGAGATGGCAGCAGTACAGCACAGACACAGTAGTTAGAAAAGTTAGACGTGAGCGGCAGCAGAGCGCCGCCGTCCGCGTTTGAGAGCGAAGTGAGCTCGTCGGCGACTAACAGTGAAGTGAGACCGAGCAGAGCCCGGTATCGGTTCAAATACACGGCCAAAATGTCACTCGATACAGGGGTCGTGACACAGAGCACAAAAAAGGCGGCCGGCACGCCGCGTCCCCTCACACACCCCTCCAGTTCCCAGGCCCAGGGCCCCGCCTGCCCCATTCGGAACAGGTGACAGGTCAGCCGGGTCGCAGGGTCACAGGGGGACGCCAGTCCACCGTTCGCGGCGTCGATATGGCCCATTGCTTCTGTCTCAGAAAAAAGCCATGCGCGGCGACAGGTGGCCGCTGGGCGGGCGGCGGCCCGGCTCGGCGGCGGGACCGGCGGGGCGAGGTGACGGGCGGCGCGGCGGCGGCTCGTCTCGGCATCGGCGGCGCGACATTTGCCTAGTTTGTCGGCAACAAAGCTGGTGCTGTGGGCGGCGGCTGCCGATGTACCGCTGCTGACCCAGACACGGCTCAATTGTGGGCCGTTTGACGGCGTCTGCCTCGGCCCCGATTCGCAGAACTGATTTATAGATGAGGCGCCGTCGATGATTGCAGACCAGCCGGCTAATAGGACCAGGATGTGCGCTACTGTGTCAGCCTTCTCAGGAGTAGTAGATCAAGTTGTCGAACGGCGTTCTCAGAAGACTGGCTAACATTTTCGGTGTCATGCAATCTATGATGCGTTGTGGGCAAAATGTGAAATAGGGCTTAGTCATTACCCTCGGACAATCGATTCTCGATGATTTAAAGGTATTTGCTTTCCCAGTGGTGTGCTGAAACAGGCGGCTGTACATCTAAGCGAACTATCAACTAGGCAGGGCCACAGGTGCAACTTTACATCTCTCTGTAAGTGATTGAGCGCCCCAATGTTCAGCTAAGAATCCTTTGAGTAATCAAAGGGACCCTCCCACCTTCAAAAAAGTTTATGAATTGGCATGAAAGTGATGTCGCTCGGTTCAGAAAGAGCGAAAACGAATATCTACCAGATTTCACCGAAAAATATTCACCGGTTTTCAAGATATTAGACTTTTACTTTTGTTTACTTTTTGGGATCTCCGCTGTTCCTAGCGATCTTATTTGGAAGCAATAGTTTGGCAGCTGAAAGTGCGGCACTTGTTGCGCGCAAAGCAGCATATACCACCGCGTGCTACAAAACGTTTTAGTAAAGCATTTAAAAATCGTTAGATATCTGCGCTGACGTCACACATTCAGAGGGGTATTCCTCTGCATTAGCCCCTCTGAATCAAAATGCTGCAATTTTGAAATTCAATATTTCCGATTTAAGGCATTGCTCGATGTTGTGAGTGCCGAAACCAGTAATTGTGAACCAGGGACCCCATTTTGGCTATCTCAACTCAAATCTGATGTTAAGTTGGGAGGGTCCCTTTAACAAAGGGAGTAACGTGGGAGCATAGATTCAGGGTATCTTTGGTAAATACCGATATTGATCACCCCAATGATTTTCGTAAAGCTACACCCACGGTCGCGACTATTGGCCAGCCACCCTACTGAGATTAAGTGCGTAGGTAGCCTGAAAGCCCAGGCTCGATCGTTGATATGCTCTTTTCCACGAAGTTGAATGCGATGCCGAGACATCCGCTTCAGTTTATATGAAGCACGCGGCCATTACTCTGAAGGTAATGTAGACCGTTTGCAGGGTTCTCGAACAGCGGACGTGCAAGTAATACAATAAAATACCATTCCTCTCAATGTTTATTGCGATTTTTATATCCCTCGTCTGTGTGTGACGTGAGGTAAGCTATTGACGTAAATTGAATGCCGCACAGCAAACAGAATTGAGGATATAATCCATTTTAGTTGCCCGATTGTATCGTAAAAAATGGGCCAGTGTCAGTAACTTCGAAAAAGTAACTTAGCTCATTGATCACGAGGCACGTGAAATGGGACGTTCAAGGGCGACACTGGTAATCTGGTTCATAATAACGGCAACTACGATTCCCAAATGTTGACTGGTTCAAAAAGAGTTTGAGCCATCTTTTTATATTTAGGTACTGGATTGAAGGTGTAGTTCATAGTTGGGAATACAACTCGTAAGCTTTGACGATTGAACGTTATGCAGCTCACTCATGGACAGTGCAATTGATATGTTGCGTTGCAAATAGCTAATTCTCTTCTTTGCAGATAGCACCGTCATTGGCAGTCAACATGATTTTGCACCACTTGCATGTGGGCTCCGTTCATAAATTACGTTTGTAGACTCGGTTTGCTAAGATAAGCCGGGTGGGTCATTGAAATGCAGTGAGCTACGTAATTAAATAAAGCGTGCTTCTTTCGCTTCCCATTTCGCCAGCAATTAGCGGAAAGCCCAGTGTCTGAATGTAAATATGCAATTAACTTGTTTGTTGCTGTTCTCAATCATGCTTTATTGCGCTATTTATCTCGGGATGAGCTATATTGCATCACATCCGACAAACGCAGTGAGTTCGGTGTGCCTGGTTTTGCGTGCTAGAGGGGAGCGATGTCCATTGTCCGTTTCTTCTCGTATTCCGTTGGAGTTTGATCTTGTCTATGATCTGTGAGCTAAGGACGCTGCTGCTGAGTATGGAACATCGGTGGCAGAGAGGCCTCACCTCGGCCGATGAGCCATCCACTGAGTTGTTTCCTGGAGAGCTGGACTCGCGTCTGACCCTGCTCGATTCGGGCAGTTTACGAGCAGACAGGGTGAGCGACTGGTATGGCGCTGTTGGCCGGTGAAGCTGACCCAACCCGGGCTTACGTGCGCTACGGTGGCTCCTCACCGCTGGGCGTGCCTTTCTGCATGGCTTTCAGCGTGCCATCGTGCTAAACGGCCAGCGATCAATCCCGAGAAACGACTGCCGCTCTGATGATGCGTCAAAAGTTATTGCCACTCTGCTCCATGGCTGCTTCTAGAGCTGTTGTATCTTCTTGGTATTTCGTCACTCGCTCTCTCTTGTTCCTCTTTTCTCTTCTCCCCTCCCTCTGTCTCTCCTCTGTCCGTCTCCCCTGTGGACCGCCGCTGCCGTCTGTCGTGCCGCCTTTGTCTCGCTATCTGCGGTCGGCATTCAGCTGTCGGACCGCCGTTGGACGGTCGTCGCCGGGTCACCCACCGCGGGGTGCCGACTGCCGACCCAACCCGACCCGGCCCGGCCCGCCGACCTCTGCGGCCGCCGGCAGTGGCAATGTTTGCTAATGTGTGCGGCTGTGCCGCCGTGCGCGGCCGCTGGGGTCCCGATGCCGCCGCCGTTCCTCGGCCGCTCCCTATGAGGGCGTTTGTATGCGGCGCGTGCCACTGCCGAACGGCGCCGAGCGCCGAAAGGCGGCCGGATCAGATCGGATCAGAGCGCGTGTGAGTGGAACAGGCACTCAGTTGCCGGGGTCAGCTGACCGACCCAGCACGGAGTCAGACAGACACCGAGGGTAACCGAGGGGAGGTGGATGGAACACGCAAACTGCATTCTGTTTGAGAACTGTGTTGGTATTGATCGTAAAGGAATCTTCATCAATTTTTTCCTATATTTACCTATTTCAATTTCTAGCAATTTCTGCAAACAATAGCAATTTCAATTTTTGCTGCCAACAACGGCTTTTCGGTGCCAGTAATGATCAGTTATTGACGGTCTGAGCTCAAGTACGTCTCATGTATTAACAAGCCGAAGATTGTCTGCACTAGCATCCACTTTTTCACTATCGGAGGAGGTACCCTTTTCTGTTATTTAGGGAGGCATCTTTATCGTCGGATGAGGCACCTTTCTCCTCTAATCTCCGCAGTCTCCGCCACCCGTACCGTCGTGTCGGGGGCGCGGCCCGGCGTCACCCCCGGCGGCACTGACCGATGGCCGACATTAGGCCAACAGAGAGTCGGGTACGCGTCCTCTGCGGGCCCTACTCGGACCAGGCGGGGCCGGTATCACCTCCGTCCGTGCCAGAAACACGGCGCGGCGGCCGCCGCCGAGGCAGATATCAAGACTAACTATGTTAGCCAGGAGTTTTCTACTTGGAGGCGCGGAAAATTAGCTGCCCCGAAGGCGAGTTGTTTGACTGCGGTAGTGATTGCAGCGTGAACCAGGGACAGATATTGAGACAGAGGAGGAGCGGCCGAGAGATTGTTTCGTGTTTCTTGCGTGACGATCCATCGAACGAACAGAAACTTGTACTTGTCCCTCTAGCTCTGCGCTAGACGCTGTGGTCTTGGTAGACTGTACCGCATTACACTGGTGTAGTCCGGTACAGCCTATCCATACAGGCATCCGGCTCCGTTCATCGTTCGCTAGCCTGGCGGCGGGCGACGACTCGAAGTTCTGTATGAGTTATTGCGCTGATGATTTATGTTTGTCTTAGTGATGCTGCGGACGCGGTTATCTGTCTGTGTCTTGCAGTGTGAACCTTTCTCGGCTTACGATGAGATATGGTTCCCGTCATTTGATTTGTGCTCGCCAAGTTCAACACTACCCGTGCCTTTATGTTTCACTGGCACGCAATCCATTCTCTTATTTCCCCAGCGCTCGCGCTGGTTCTGTGTGCGTCTTATCCCGAGAATACCAGCGAAAGTAGGTAGCTGAGCTCACATTTCAGCGTGAAACCTTTACTGCGAAAAATTTTCATTTGCGTTCTGAAAATCCACGTCCGCGTGACGATCAGCAAACTGTATCATAGGGCGATGTGCTGCAGTTAATCAGTGATCAATTTGCAGTTAATCAGTTATTAGTCCTGTTCCCGCCATGCCACTGACCGTTTCTCCATGTTCGCAGCGATCGCACTGATGTACCTGGCCGGCAAGCTGAGCAAGTTCGAGGTGGTAGACTGGGTGGGTCGTCAGCCGCACCACCTGCGCTGGTGGGACATGTTCGTCGAAGACATCTCTATGGAACTGATGGAGGGTGAGTGTGTCGAGCTATAACTCGGCAGACTCATTCGAACGTGATATTCGAGCTGTTTGATGTCCAGCTCTAATATGAACAAACTACATAGCAGCCGGACCTGGTCGTTTTTGTATGTGTGCGCTACGGCATAACATTTCTGATTAGATCGCGTCATTGGTGGATAGATGTGCATCTGACCCGTATTTTGGCGTTGTTCGATTGATTGCATTACATTGTGAAGGCGGCCGGAGCTGGCGCGGCGATATTGGATTCGGCCTATTGTGTCGGTGCGCTCGGCGCGGGGTGAGCGCTCCTTTGATCGGGTGGACGGTGACACGGCTGGGGTTCGGGCAGCCGCACTGTTCCCGACCGGCCGGCCGGCGGCCGGCGCCTGTCGTCATGTGCGGCCGTTCCGGGTCAGGAGGGGACGGGGGAGGGAGGCATCCGTGATGAGGTCTTGACTTTGAGAGTGGTGTGCAGCTGACTAGGCAGAGTAATTGTTGAGGAGAAGCAGGGAGCGTGAGGGAGGCCGGAGTTCAGCTGATAAGCTGGGGCCATTTCTGCTTCTATTATCACCATGTCATTAGTCATCTAGCCTTGGCTATCGACCTGCCTTTCTAAGCCATCCCGAGAGGTCCCTGGCCCTGCCCTCTGGCCTCTATCGCTCTCACCACTCACCTCTGGTCAGTCCCGTCCCATCCGCAACTCCAACACCTCCCCAGGCGGTGACTGTGTTGCTGACTCCGGCGCGCCCGTCCGCCCCGGAGAGGACCAGCCTCCGCTCCGGAGAGGCCCCGTCAGCCGGTCTGAAGGGCTCTCCAGCCGGCCGGCCGTAGACGATTGGTGCCCGGACGGCGGCTCGGCCGGCCGGTCTCGGCGCTGGCGACTAGATCGCCGTGTGAAGAGTACTGGGGAAGCATGGTAGAGGGATAGGAGCAGCAGTGTCCTGAATCATAGATCAGGGACGCTGTGGGCGCTCGGTAGAGGGCTGCTCGGTAGATTACTGGGGAAGCACGGTAGATAGCTCGGAGCGGCAGTGTCTCCGGTCCTAGATCAGGGACGCGGTGGACTGGACATTGACACAGGATATCCCCGGTTCAGGTAGCTATTATTGTACCGGCTCAACAGTCTCCCGTGTGTGCCTCTGTCGCCGGCCTCTGAGCATTGTGCAATCGTTCCGTGGGGGATTTGCGATTGCCGGGCACGCACTAGCGTCATCCATTGGGTGGCTGTCTAGCTACTTTGATCCGGTACTGGGAGAATGCGCCGGCCTCTGGACCAGCCATCTGCCGCTCGGAGTATGGAGTGCTACGGTTCACCTAACGGCGGGTACTCGGCGGGAGACTTTAGACTCAGCTGTGAATCCCCAAAGGTGGTCAAATTGGTTCCGTAAATTTCTGTCAGTCTGATATGACACGACCTTTTGATTTTTTATTTGTAGTCTGATATGACACGACCTTTTGATTTGTACAGTTCCTTGAATTGGCGTGTCTCTGCACTGACCTACCATAGGCTAAGCTCTAGACTAACCTGGCCTGGAGTAAGCTGACTTTAATTTCATACGAACTGACCTAATATAGGCCAGATTTTTTGCGACTTAATCTGACGTGAGCTGAACTGGCCTCATCTGGTCGGCACTGGTCTGCGCTGGTCTGAGCTGTCTGGAACCAGTAGTCATTTCATCCTCTATCTATGAAAGTCCCACTGGCCGCTGACAGCAGTAACGAACGATGCCGGAGCCGGAACACGACCTCCCAGAGTTTGAAGCGGTGGGAGTCAGTCGTGCAGGCCCCGACCGGTGACCTGTCCGCCCGTGTTCGGTGGGCGTTTTAGCGGCGCTCAGGCTGTTCTACTTCGAATTGTAGCCCAATGGGTGTAGTTTGTAGTTGGTACCGATCTCCTGGTTAGCGGGTGTTCCTGGGTCCAGATGGCCAGATGGCCCACGTGGAGCCGAACAAAATAGGCTAGTCTGGAAAAAAAACTCTGGAGATTTTGTTGTAGCTACAGACGTGCGGTGAAACAATTTTCGGTTTTTTTTTTGTGTAGTGAGCAGAAAAATATGTTATTTCTGGAAACCGAGAACGCTATACATTGAACTCCAGAAATCTGCACCTTTACGCCCAACAGGGTAGCGGCCCGTAGCGGGATTTTCACCGAAGATAACTAGCGTCTGTTCTTTGTTTCAGACATCTGTCACCAGGTTTTAGACCTGTACCAGCAGACCAAGGTGGCAGGTGTGGCTGCCGAGAGCCCGCCCCAGTCGTCGGCCGCCCCCGCCCCCGCCCCGGCCACCCCCGCCGCCGCGGCCGCTCCGGCTGCGGCCGCTGTGCCAAAGCAAGAGCCGCTGGCGCCTGCAGTCGACCCGGCATCGCTGGGTAGGTGCCACCTCCTACTGTCTTTACACTGGCCGAGAGGCACCCTAGCTCGGTCAGGCTATCCCCCATACTTACACGGAGCCTCAGACTGACTAGCCACGGTCGGCCGGGGCATGGTAGACTTTACCTGTGCCTACACGTAGCCTCAGACTGACCAGCCTCGTCCGGACGGGGAGACGGGCACGTTCGTGCTCCTGCGGGACCGGGAGAGCCGTTCAGTATTGATGCGCCTACTTACGGGGGCCGGGCGATACGGAGAAGTGTCTATTTATGAGGGAGGAGGTCCGGTAGGCCAGACGGTCATGGCAGGGCGGGGGGCGCGGAACGGCCTCTCCTATCAGACTCTGCCGGGTAGGAACATCCCACTTGTTCAGCTAGTCAGTCAGACAGTCAAGCAGTCAGTCAGTCACTCGCTCACTCACTCTTTCACTCAATCCATCAATCAAGCAATCACTCACTCACTCACTCACTCACTCACTCACTCACTCACTCACTCACTCACTCACTCACTAACACGCTCGTTCACTCACTCACGCAGTCTCCGGATGCCAAATTGTGTTCAGGAGTCAGGCTGATGTTGTATTTCTCCTTATTCATACACGTGCATCGTGCGTGCTTACACGCGTGGTCTGGAATTGTGCGAAGCCAGCTTAAATGACCTGGGAATGTGTCTATGATCGGACAGGCTTTGATTGGTCGGAGGCTAGGAAAAACCATTACGCTTCATTGGAGCTGCCCTGGTGTGCTAGCAGCTGACTTATTGGTTTTGTATATACTTTCTTTATATTGCGTTCCTCACTGCTATTGGATGTATTTGCCGTATGTATGCTTCTCTGTATGCCTGTCCCTATTGTATTGTATTGTATTGTATTGTATTGAACAACCATGAGCGATCCACATTCTGAAGTGCGTGGCGATTACTGCTTGTCTGTAAGTGAGTGTAATGTGTTTGTGTCTGTCTTCCGTACCCCACGTTTCTCATCAGTAACCCGGACTATCTTTGCAGCGGCGCCGGCCGCAGAGCTCACGCCGGGCCGGGAGCTGCGAAAATCGGCGCCCTCCACGCCGCCGCTGCAGGTGAAGGCGGAGCCGCCGGCCGCCCCCGCCCCCGCCGCCGCCCCCGCCCCGGCCGCCGCCGGCGGCGGCCCGCCCGGCGCGTCCGGCGGCCAGCCGCCCCAGTTCGGCGGCTTTGGCTACGGGCCGCCGCCGGGCGGGGCGTTTGGGTACGGGTACCCGCCGCACGCGGGAGCTGCGGCGCCGCCGCCTCCACCGCCCCCGCCGCCGCCGCCTCCGGGACCGAGCGGCCCGGCGGCGCCGTTCCCGCCCCAGTTCCCGCCGTTCGGGTGAGTGGGAGAGGGAAGAGGGCGGGCTCGGTGTCGGAGTTAGACGCGGGAAGGTGTTTGTCCCTCTGTGCTGCCAATGGCAGTGGAGAATAGTGTTGGGACTCGGTGCCAAAACCCATACATCGCTGTGGTATAGTTCGTCGTGCTTTTCATGTGTCTAAATGCTGTGGTTCCCGATAACAGTAATATTCTAAAGTAATTGTTGACACTTGTCTTCTCGACTCTTCCAGGTTCCCGTCGGGCCCGGCGGACGGTAAGGGTGGGGCGGTGCCCCCGCCGCCGCCCCCGCCGCCGGCATCCAAGTACCCGCCGCCGCCTGGCGCGTCCGTGCCGCCGCCGCCGCCGCCCCCGCCCAGCAGTGCGCCGCCGCCGCCGCCACCACCGTTCCCGCCCGGCGGGATGCCACCGAACAGAGGGTAGGTGGTTTAGGACGCCGCTGAGCGACTGCGGCTCCGGCTGTGTCGCTGAGCTCTCTCGATGGAGCTGAACAGGGTCATGTGTGCTCCTCGCCTTAATTTGCATTACCTGATCCCAGAGCATTTCTGAGCCAAGCGCCCTGGCCGATCCTACCGTACCCAGAAGTCCACCCACGTGAGTCTGCCCACCGGCGTCCTGCCGCTTACCAGACGAGCGGTGCCGATATCAGATCCTACGCTGGATCATTTTCCAATCCCTGAGAGGCCGTGTGGCAGACGCTATCGACCTCCGACACAAGTGTTCTCCTTGAATATCGATGGTGACGACCCTGACCCCGGACGTCGAGTGGTGTGGCGAACGGCCAGACTGACCCCAAAGAGAGCGGCCTAGTGTCAGGGATCGGGATGTCTGTTCTAGTCATTCATGTGAGGTGTGTTATCTAGTGACCAAAGCAGATGAGCTGTTGATCTCTTCAGCCTTGTGATGTCCTATTTCCTTCTCCGGCGATGTGTTTATCCTGTGTATTTCGTGGCTGTTACTGTTTCCGTTAGATCTGCTTCTTCATCAATTTTCGTTAATTAATGGCTAGTCGATGTTATAGCTCTAAGCGAGCTTCTTTCCTGATTGAGCTTAAACGGGCTAAGCGCCCGATATTTCTCAGGTGTTGTTAAGTGCGGTGACGTGAGCACTGCGGATGGAAGGGCTATCTCGGCCGATGTCGACATGGGAATGCTGTGCTGTGGATGGAGCGATTTAGTGGCAGAGCCGCCTGACCTCCGAGCACTAAAGCGTGCTGTGCTGGCTGTTCCACTGTGCGTCGGGTGCCCTCTTGTTACCCATTATTTCCTTTGCTGTGCCGTGATAGTTAGAGTCCCTGCGGTAATTCTGGACTCAGTAAGAGTCGATATCACAAAAATTGGTCTGGCTGCTGATGGCTCCGTGGTTGCCTCCAGCTGCTGACTGTTGCTTACACTGGCTCACAATCATCTGCTGACTGTGATCAGCGGTCAGCTGCTGACTGTGTACCTCACAGCAGACCACCAGTCAGCAGCCGACTGGCTCGCTCCGCCGCCCATTGTCCTGATCCACTGCCGCCGACTCGGCCGTACCGATTGGATTTGTGATCCGCCGAGCCTCCGACCCTCCCCCGCCTCTGTCTTTGCTGACAATACACTGTTATAGCGCACCACTCGGCCTTTTCTCTCCGTCTGTCTCCCGTTTCTCCCTCTTCCTCCCTCTCCTCTCTCTCGTATGCCACCCCGGTCACTCCCCAGTGGTCAGCGGTCAGCGATCGGGGACGTGACTGGACCCGGCAGCACTCACACGCCGCGCGCCAACAGCCGCCGTTAATGCGCGCCGACACATGAGGCGTGCATTGTGCTCGCCGCTGTCGGTCGCCGGACCTCGACACTGTTCTCGGAAGTGGTCGGGTCAGAGCCGTCGGGCTGGACGGGTAGGGGGCGGTCGGAGGGGTATGTGGTCGCTGTGGCCGAGTGTAGTCCGGTTCTCTGGGGTAGGTGTGTGGAGAAATGTCCTCTGAACGAGCAGGATGCGGTTTTGGAGCAGCAGTACTTGACAGATGATTTCTGAGAGGTTGAGTAGCCAATGTAACCTTTAAATGTCATATTTGTGAGGTTTCAATAGCATTGCAATGCATTTACTTCACCTCTGGATAGTTTGAATGGTGATGGACCCTGCCTCAACGACGCTCTAACTTTATTGCACCCAAGCAACTTCGCTGGGTCCCTTCTGGTCAAACCTTCGAAAACTCTGTCCCTGTGGTGGCTCCCACTTCCCATGGCATATTCAGGAGAGGATAAAGTATAGGTAACGAGAACCGGCAGCACCCGATAGAGGCTTTGAACCAGCGGGGCACTAACACTTCCAAACAAAGTCTGGAGCTGGGTAATGCACAAATCGGATAAGGCGTCTTGTGGTCCTACCGGATACCATCCTCTTCACCCGTGCCCTCACTCCATAGCTGGCCTACATAAAGCTTACCAATCCACCCTTTTCGAATAACCTGTACACAGTTTTCCTGACTCTTCCTTTAGCCCTTCCATTCGTCTGTTCTCTCCCCTGGCATGTCCCTCTGACTTGTAACCTCTCAGGCCCCTCCCTCGCTACTGATCTGTGACCTCTCGGGTCTTTCCCGCCCCTCTGATCTGTGGCCTCTCAGGCCCCTCCCTCGTTACTGACCTGTGACCTCCGGCGCCCCTGTCGTACGACGCCGCCGCGGGAGCGCTCCCCTGGGTCAGCCGGCGGCGGTGCCGTGAGCGATGCTCCGCCTCGCCCTGCGCCCATTTGCCGCCCCCATTCACCTAATGCGATCTGATCTAACAGCGCCACTGATGTAGCGGCGTGGCCGGCCGCCCGCCGCTGGTGGCGGGCTGTCTCCCTCGCCGCCGTCGCCGCAGGATGGAGAGTCACGTCTCTGGCCGGTGCTTGTCAGTCGTCTATCGAACCCTGGGCACCGGCAACGCGTGGTGTCCCTCCTGACGGGGGTGACCTCTACACCTGGACCTCTTCCCACCGTCCCGGCACAGTGACCTGACTTGTAGAGACCTACCCGCGGCCCGACACATCATAGATCCGACGGCCGAGTACCAGGGAGCTGATGGGGTGCTGTGGCGAGTTTTCGACAGGGAGATTTACAACCAATGTCCCGCTTTGTTGGAGTTTAGACCCGTCCACTGCGCTCGGACAGGCCGATATTGGTAATTTAGCTCTAAGAGCTTTGTGATCGTGGCTATGACCAAAAGAGGCTCAGTGAAAGGTCGTCCACTAATATTTTATTGACCCAGATCAGAACCGAGATAGTGACCTTTGCCGTCTTTTTGTGAAATTGGTTTTTCCTCGAGCTGTCCTAAGTGTGTCCGAATCTGTAAGATTTCCCCGGAGGAGTGGTGTTATATTTGATCTCGGGCGCGCCGGCCGCGCATGTATCGGGGGTTTCCGGTGCGTGCCTGGGCCGAGGAGGTCGCGTCTCTGACCGTCCATGGTACTGCGCACATTGGCAGACGGAGGGTGCCGGGGGAGCTTATCCAGGCGGGGTGAGGTGGACGGTCGTCTGTACTGGACGTGGGGGGACACTAATCTTGTTGCAACCAGTGCAGGAGAGAGAGAGGGGGGGGAGGGAGAGAGAGAGAGAGAGAGAGAGAGAGAGAGAGAGAGAGAGAGAGAGAGAGAGAGAGAGAGAGAGAGAGAGAGAGACAGAGAGACAGACAGACAGACAGACAGACAGACAGACAGACAGAGAGAAAAATAAAGAGAGAGAGAGGGGGAGGAGGGAGAAAGAGAGAGAAAATGAGAGAGAGACAGACAGACAGACAGACAGACAGACAGACAGACAGACAGACAGACAGACAGACGACAGAACAGACAGACAGACAGACAGACAGACAACAGACGAGACAGAGAGAAAACATAAAGAGAGAGGGGGAGGAGGGAGAAAAGAGAGAGAAAATATATAGAGAGAGAGAGAAGAGAGAGACCAGAGAGAGAGAGAGAGAGAGAGAGAGAGAGAGAGAGAGAGAGAGAGAGAGACCAGGGACAGAGAGAGAGAGAAGAGAGAGAGAGAGAGAGAGATAGAGAGAGAGAAGAGAGAGAGAGAGAGAGACCAGGACAGAGGAGAGAGAGAGAGAGAGAGAGAGAGAGAGAGAGAGAGAGAGAGAGACCAGGGACAGAGAGGAGAGAGAGAGAGAGAGAGAGAGGGAGAGATAGAGGGAGAGAGAGAGGAGAGAGAGAGAGAGAGAGAGATAGAG